ATCATTTAAATAGTTTTTTTGAGTTATACTGCAGACAGGCAGTATAACTCAGAATACTGCTAATAAAAGTATCTAGTGGTCAGTGTTAATATTTGCATCATAAATGGTAAATGGTTTGGATTTTCTAGTCTTTTCTAGTCTTGATCCCCACACAAAGCTCTTCACAGTACAGTTTGCCATTCATACAGTGTGTCTATAAGCAGCACTCTTTGTTCTATGAAGGCCAATTCGGGGTTCAGCATCTTGCCTAAGGACACTTCGACATGCAGATGGGGAAGACTGGGGATTGAGCTGCTGACCTTCTGGTTGGAGGACGACCGCTCTACCCCTCAGCCACAGCCGCCCCTTCAGTGGCCACAAATAAAATTAAAATGTATGGGAAACACAAAATGTAAGTTCATTAACACTGTGCATCTTCAGCTGAGTAGGTGGTCCTTCAATGTGGCACAGGATGTGTTGCCCCAAACACCTTCTAATGTGGTCTGAGTCTTTGATTGGTTTTCTCCAGTGTGTCTTTGATGTGTTTACACCTGACCACTTAAGATCAGATCACTGTACACATATATGAATACTCGGTCTGAACAGGGTCTTAACGACACTTCATGTTAACTAACTCAATGTGAGGTGGAATGCAACAGATGCTTGAATGTGACTCAAGTGTCCAACACCAGTTTTCTGTAAACTATGGGGCCAGAGACTTGTGGGGGGGGCTGGCAGCTTCCTCTGAATGGCAAATAGCATAATAGATTAGCATTCCAATGGACCCCTCCATACCAACAGTCCCCTCCCACAGTGCTAATCTGAAAACACAGAAACAGTGCACTGAATGTTAAAGAGCCTCGTCATGTGAGCATTGATGCATTTCTCAGACAGTGCACGGATAAATTATAAAGTTTTAGCTTGCTTCTTTCATGGAGGGGAAAATCTCAACGCAATCATGTAAACTCCCACTCGTGACCTTGTATCTCACATTGAAATGCCTTACCTTTCCATCTCCTGCCTCAGGGGTTAATTACCAAGCCCACAGATTGAGCAGGGCCAAAATACACCCCCTCCCCATAATAATCTCTCTCACTTTACCCAGTTGCTAGATACATACACTCCACAGTGAGCTCAGAGCATTTCTGATTGTTCCTCTAGTGTGGCATTTGAAGCTTCTCTCAACGTCACAAAACACAGAACTCATTTATCCATGGTCATTCTTTCTACAGCTGAGTAGGTGTTTCTCATCACGTGATGTAAGCAACACTGCAACCATAATGCATGAAGCCACAAACCATGACTCTGACATCTTCATATCCGAGCCAAATGTTGTGAAAGGTGTGTTGGCAACTCACAGTTCATCTCGTTGTCGTTGTGACAGCACCATGGTGACAGGGAGGTGTGGGTGGGGTTGGGAGGGATCAGTTGGTAAAAGGAGAATCTTGTGCAGCTGCTGCGCTCTCCTCAGTCAGGAGATTAGATGTGCTGATCCAGGCAACACAGGCGTGGATGAGCCGTGTACTCCAATGGCAGGCGGTTGGTTTTGTCCAGGCAGAGATGGCTGAGACTGAGAAGAAGGGAACGCAGGAATCTGCCCCCCAACCGTCTGACTCCAGGGACAAGAGAAGTGGAGAGGCTGCAGACCAGTCACCAGCCAAGTCTACACTGCATCTGGAAAAGAGGGAAAAATCAACATTAGGTATGCATGATGGATTACAGGGAAAGTGGGTGGGGATGAAAATGTTTATGGGCCAAAGGAGTGCTGTATCAGTATCTGCACCAGTTATACACAGACAAAATGTCTGTAAACTATTAAAATTACAGAAGCACAAAACAATACCAGCTGTGTTGTCAGAAAGATAACTCCCACAGTGACACTTCAACAGCATTCAGCATAAAGCTGATAAAAGACGACATACACTCATCTAGCATACATTTGATCAAAACTAGCTCCTTCCTATAAAGCACGCCAAAAGTAGCTTTCAGCTGCAATCCTGCCATCTACATGATGAGTCTTGTCATGTCCAGTCAATCAGTCATGTCACCGGTCTGCTATGCTCTTGCAGCAAATTCCTCTCTCTGCGCACATAAGGGCTGACCCACATTCTCAGTGCAACTGCTTCTCCTCCCAGGTTGCAGAAAGAAAAGAAAAACAGGACATAGCCGAGCAGGCTGAGTAACGGATGAGCTATTGTCGAATTCCCCTGACATTTTCATCTCATTATGACACCTCCTCAAAAGCTGGCTAATGGCACAATGTAATAACTACGTCCATTTGTAATAATTTATTAGTGTGAGTGTGAGTATTAATTTCTTGTTGGGAGTGGAATGTTGATGTGAGGAAAAATAATGTGATGGAGTCTATTTTAATACTGCTTCGTAGTCGTGAAAAGCACTTCACCAACACAGGTACCAGCTAGAATACCAACTGTGAGCTACAATAAGCCTCTTAGTCTACTGGGACCAGTCTGACTAAATCTCTGCCAGACTAGTTCAAACAAAGTCAACGTATGTCCTTCCAGAGACCTGCAAAAAACCAACAAAACCAAAACATGGCATCAACGTCCGGACATGTGCAGAAGAGCGAGAGTGTCTGGCAAGAGATTTGCGAACAGGTCCCCTGAAGGATGTATCTGGAGTAAGCATGAGGATTGGAAACACTCCATTGCAATGAAGGAAAACTGACACATTAACCAATTCAGCTGATGATGCAGGAGTTACATTATCACAAGGGAAAATTCCTCTTTTAAATTCCTCCTCGTTTGCACAAAAAGCAAAGAAACTTAAGCTGTTTTCAGAAATTACCTGTGGTTTAAGTCCAGGAATTGGGTGAAGACTTAACCCGGACTTTGCCTTTCACACATGCACAACGCAGCAGGAGGTTCTTGGCATGGACACATACACAACAACAACAAATCCTCTGCATTATTGAGGCAAGAGGTGGAGCAGCCGGATGCAGCAGACAGAGGCAGGAAGTGATGTATTAATTCTGCTGCAGAGATCACATGATCATGCTAACAGCACCCTGAACTGTCGACAGCTCTTATCATAATCACCACAAACTTTCTTGACATCTTTGTCAGTGTCTTCTACGTGTATGACACAGCATTTTGACCAGGAAATTATTTTTCTTTTAATCATTGCGTCTGTTAGAAGTTCCATCAACCCCCCACTCACTCACGGTGAATCCAGTGAGGGATCCCCAGCTGTGTTTTCACATCGTATTCTCCTGGCTATCCAAGGACCTTATACTAGGGGACCCGGCGGAGAAAGTCTGCAGAAACTGCGGTGCCTCTCACTTTGCACTCACACCTGTACCTTCTCCAGAGAAAGTACGGAGGATCTGCGGAGTTCAGTTCATGTCTGAAAGCAGCTTTAGAGAACAAAGGGAAAACACAAAGGATGCCGATGTAATACTGACTTTTCTGAAGGCATTAAGTAAAACTCTCATTTTTGCCTTTTTATTTTCATATTTGACAATGCAGAAAACCTGTTACCCAGACAGTAACCTAACATAGCCAACAGCTAACCCCTGAACGCTGATGTCACCACCTAACAGCCATCCAAATATCTGCTCAGCTCTGACTCTGTGTAGATTACGGCATGCTGGTGGTTTCTGGATGCTGTCCAACAACTCAGCCATGGTTCAGGGTCACAGCATAACAACAACACAGTAGGATGATGGCACTGAAGATAAAAATTGATCCTTCACAACTGTCCACACACAAAACATGCATTAAAAGCAAGCACCTTCTACATCAACTTGTACAACTGCTATCTGAGTAAAATGAGGTCATCTACTATAAACTGACACTTTCCCCTCCACCGCTGGCAGCTGTCATCTCCGTATGTATCCATTAATGTGTTAGACTCCCCTCTCTTCAAATCTCGTTTGTGGCTTCAGTATTGAGCAAACTGTTTGCACAATTCCATAATCAGACTAATTGCCTCAGCACAAAAATGCAGTCCTGTTTCTATGGAAGGGGGAATGGGTTGCAGCATCTATAAATCTGCCTGCTGATGGTTAATAATGGTTATGTGTCTTCCTCCCATTGATTCTCTTTTTTTTGTGTAGCAACGACAACTGTACAGTAAAGTGCTCCTTATAATAATGGAGCAGACTCTTGATAGATGTTTAATTTCCTGATGGGTGCCAACAGGTTGTCCGTAGTGAAAATGTCATTTTTAATGATAAATGGAATGATTCCTCCGTCTCCGTCAAACATCAAGTCAAAACTGTAATGAACCACACCCACTGTGTCACTGTCTGTGCACAATCTGTGTTTATGAAGTCGCGCTTGAGAGATGGGCCTATATATTTCAAAAACCCTAACACAGGTCAAAACAGCAAGTAACAAAAACCGAAAAAACACTTAAATAACTATCAGAGTAATGTGTCAGACAACCTTTCAGAAAAGCACAAAACCATCAAAATCTTAATGAGATGAACAGTTAGTGTACATGTACACTGAAGCTGACCAATTTGCCATCTGGTCAAAATGCAACCTAAATTTGTACCATATTACAGCTTATAATTACTCAACCTTTCAAATATGACAGACAAGATATGTGTTCAACATTTTCTAATAATCAACACTTCCATGTCTGCAAAAAAGAGCACATCCCTGAGGAATGCAGGGCAAGTCAGCAGTGTCAAATTGTGTCTTAGCAGCTTGTCAAAAAACATACATACAATCACAATAGTGTTGACATAGCTATCGCCTCACTGTCACCTCTGGTTCACGGCTCAGTTTTTCTCAGTGTCATTGTGACATAAACCTCTTTAAAAACCAAGCATCTCAAACAGATGGAATCTGGAGCACCCACATTTTCTTTTGGTGCCTTCAACTTCATTTCGTCTGTAAACTGGGAAGGTAACATTATCATCATACTTGACTGACTCTTTACAGACAACATGGAGGAATTCTGAAAGGCTAAACTACAGTATGGCATGTAGAAACAGCTAACTTACTCAAAGATGCATGAAAATACAACAGCAAAAGGTGACTCCACATTCTTGCTTAATAATGTGTGCACACATTGTGATGTGACATGAAAGTGGACTCTGCTTGTTGACAAAGCTCCACTCCAGCTGAGCACAAGTAACACACAAACACTGGAGGTCAACACAATGGAGTGAGCAGTGACCGACATCATTTTAATTAGGGTGAGAAAATTATTATAGTAGTTATAGTTATCTGCTGTGATTTATCCCTTTATCTATGTCAACATTTGTACTATAGATTTTTTTAAACAAAAGACAGCATATTTGGTCATTATCAAAGAATATATTAAACTTTTCTACTCAGTTAAAGCACTGAAGACTCAGACTCAATCACTCAAGACTCATCTAATATCTGTTTCAACTCCTCAGCTCCACACTGCATCAAGTTAGAAGTTTACTTGCACAGTTTACAGATTTAGTTCTTTGAATTTATTTTGCATCCAACAAAACCAACAGAGGGACAAAACACAAAGCAGGCAGGACACTCGCAGAAACAACAACTCAGTTGTATTTACCAACCGGCACACACAAGTGGGAAAATTGCAGTACTGACTAGTTAGCCTCCTTCATTCAGACATGCAGGTTTATATGGTACAAGCAGACACCCACTTAGCAGCCATAAGGTGCTTGTTCAAATCAACATGATTTGGATCTCTCCAGGGCATTCACGTCATGCCAACAAGTTTGTGATTTAAATGGTCACAGCTCTAAATTTAGATGGGATGTGAATGTGGAGTCTGCCAGTTGTTGTTGCCAAGCATGAAACATGTTCAAATCCAAAGTTTCAATTCTCCAAAAGCTACTTTGGCACACACTAAAGGATAAGTGGTTGCTTAGGTGATATTCAACAGCTTCTTGAGATTGTTGACATTGATATTAGTTTCACACAAACATTGTCAATTATTTGATTTTCAAAATTATATACAAACACCATGTCAAAGAGACCATTTGTGAGGTGACAGGCCGCTGCGGTTGGCAGCAGGTCAGTTATCACAGTTAGCTGCTGTGTGGAAGGTCAACGTCAGTGTGACTGGGCAGGGAGGGAGAGTAATATGGATGCCTGCTCTGCAGCCCTCCACAATCTCAAAGACAAACAGCCTCTCACTTTCGTCATGTGTTGACTTAAAATAAGGAGGATTCCCCCATTGCTTGCTTTTAGGTTATACCTCTAAGAATCCTGTCAGTCTTTTACAACGGTATTAGAGAGGAAGAAATGATCAACAAGATCTGTGACTGTGAATTGTTCAAGTCTTCTGCTGAATAAGTGGAAGCGAGCCCAGGCTTTGTGTTGCAGGCATGTACAATTGGTGCTGGTGCAGTGGTTCCATTACTGACAGCACTGAATAGACCCTGGCTTCAGGGATGCACTTATTCAAATCAACCTCTGACCATACTCAAGAACGCTATCAAGTACAACCAGCTAACTGCATCCACTGTCTCCCACAATTACTGCTAAAGAAATGAAGCGTGTGGATATTATACAAAAACAAAGAGCTGCTGTTGTCATATTAGTTTGTTATTCCCAATAGTCAAACAAGGTAGCTAGACCCAATTTGAATCTAGTTTGAACTTTGAGTCTTTTTAGCATCACTGTCAGGTGTTTTCACAAATGCAAGTCCATGGTCCAACCAAGGTTTATGTTTATGCTCCATTGTCTACTTTTGGTTTCACATTGCAATTTTTTACGAGCACACTCAAAAACTTTGTATGACATGCCTACGTCTCCCTATACTTGACACTGACTGGTGAATTGATGGTTAATTGTGTTGTCAGTTTGGAAGGTTGCATCATTTGAAATCAAATGATACGATTAATATCATTGCCTCTATATTGAAATTACTATTTTGGCTTTGGATTTTATCATCGAAGCAAAAGAAATTATAATTAAATATTTAATGTCCTCATCACCCCATGTGTTACTGTAGCTCATATTTACTTCTCGTCCAGTTAGTTTTCTTCTATTATTGAATTGGTGATGAACCTGCTTCAACTTCCTGTAATTGGTACAAGATTCTATACCATCCAAAAGAGCGTTTTCCCAGAGTACACCAGACCATAGTTGTGTCTGATCTGAACCTAAACCATCATTTCTCAATCGAGCCAAAAGTTGAACCCTTAGGTCCAGTCAGCGTTCCAAGGCAAATTTCACATCTGATATTTTGGTTCAAAACAAACAAGGTAGGTGTGAAAACACCCTGTAAGATTTCGACATTGACCAATCACAGTGTTAAGATATCCCTCACCTGTGATATTAAAAATCAAACAAACATTAGTGCATTTGAGTAGATTAAATGTTACTAAGAATAGCTGTGAAAATGACTCCAAGCAGAAATATGGTTCACACCCCTCTTCAAGTCTAAAACAAACACTCTTACCTGAGAGTGGAGCACAGTCAGCGTTTCTTTTAGAAAGCTGAACAATTTCATCAACATCCAATAAATCCAGTTCATCAGCTGCAAGGCAGTCCTTACAGGCGTGGCAGAGGAAACTAAAACAGCCAAGGTCCCAGACTTTAACCAGTGCTTTCTATCCCATATATCCGTGACATGCTTGCACAAATCGAGAGAGCGCCGTTCATTGAATTCAGTGCACAACCGTGCCAGCCACCAATCGCCACTGATTTCCATTCATCTCAATGTAAACGCAGGTTCCACAAAACCCTGACCAGAAGCCCTCAAGTCACATCCACACAATGAGAGAGCAAACACGTGAGCACTGGGTAGAGGCAGTTCCTATAAACTCATCGTCTCCGATGTGCTCCACCCTGATTTCATAACGCCGTGCCAACAAACCGCATGAAGCATGAGAGATGCAGGGAGCATCCTCCAGCCAGACACAGCAGAGTAGATGTACGAGGGAACATGCAATGTTAAAAAACTGCAGCAGGGGTTCTGTGGCGCTCAAATGCAATGATGTGTGTGTGTGCACAGCAAACAGCTGAGGACCGATGACGAGCAGCACTTTACGCCCTTTTCAGATTCTAACACTGGACACAAGCGATTAACACAACATCAACACGGTGATAGCGCTAACATGTCCAAACGACTCCCCGATAGCAGAGCTAATGTTAGGCGCTGTGAGCGACACTGGATTTTGTCGTGTGGTATTTTTAACAACGTTGACAGGCAGAGCCTCTGCTTCACACTGCTAATTACTGCTTATAGCTAACTTGGGACGGACGCCAGACGCCACCGTAATGTAAGCTGGTGTCACCACGCCGAACACACTGACACGTTTTCACCCCGGTGTTGAAGTCGGTAACGATTCCGGTCGAGCTGACAGCCGGTAGCTCTGCGTTATCGTTAGCTGAAGTTAACGTTAGCCAAGTTAGCTTCAGTCAGAAAGTTGGCTCTTCGCTCCGGTACAGCGCGCGAGTCAAGCTCAGTTAGCGACAGTTAGCTCACACAGTAGCTGACAATGACCGACTACTTCTGTATTTTGCTCCAACAGGAAGGTGGTTATCTGTACCCGAGGATAAAGTCCGCTGACACGGTACCTGCTGCTCCGGTCCAAGCGGCCTATCCGCCATTTTGAGACATAGAAAGGAGGCGCAGACGTTACAGCCACATCGTCATTTTCCCCCTAACGGCCGATTCCTTCGCCCGCGACCGGCTCGGTGACAGGACCGCGTTGGGACTCACCCTATGGTCTCTGGCCGTGGATGTCCTCCGCCGTCTCCTGCGGTAACACGACCCGTCAGGGCGTGAGGTTTCCGCTGCAGAAGGGTCGGGTCTTGTGATGTGGAGCTGAGCCGCGTCTCGTCTCGTCTCCGCCGCTTGTTTTCTCGTCGCCTGCCGCATTCGCCTTCAGCCCGGAGCGCGCACGGAGCTCGCGTTCACGGACCGACGAGAGCGCGCACGCACTCGATACTATTTACTATTAACTGTTTAATGTCCCTCACACGAGGCGACTCTTTACTGATCTGTTACTGTCACAGCATTAAATATGAACAATGCATGTGAAGCATCTCAATTCACTGCACCTTGTAGTATTACCACTCAAAACAAAGAGACTATTAACTGTTTAATGGTCCATTAAAGAGGATGGAGACAGTTCATATGAACTGCAGTCAAGTCATTAAAGGTCCAGTGTGTACGATTTAGGTGAAAGGGATCTACTGGCAGACATTTAGTGTAGAATAATCCTCATGATGTTTTCACTGGTTCGTTTCATCTAATTTGTATGAATTCTACACACTGTACCTTTAAAGGCTGCAAGTGAATGGATCCAATACACTCCTGAGTGATTTCTACTTTTAAAATCCTGATTTTTATCATGAATACATTGTACACTATCCACAGTTACATTGTCTGATGAATGCCAAAATAATGATTTAAAAAACTATAATATACAGTATCATATATATATAGATATATATATTCTATATACGTATAGTAGCTACGATTTATAACTCAAAAAATCGACAGCTATGCATGGGTTATAAGACAATAGGCCCCTGGAATCAAATGCAAGACTATGGAGATGAAATTGTAGCTGTTCTGCACATTTATGCATGTATTGTAGACGTTCATACAATTTGTTATACTATTACCTTGAGTCCTGAGTCTTGTTATGGCCACTTCTTATTTTGAAAATCAAGATAAGGTTTGTATTACACACTAAAAATATACACAGTGCTGAATGTACACTAAAGACACCATAATCTGCATATATAAAACACAAATCTCTACTCAATTTCTATTTACAATGTTGCATTGTAGTAATATTTCAGCTTTATTGTCTGCACTTTACAATTAAGGTGCTTTGCAAATGGTTTATTTGAAAGCCATGTGAAAGAATAGACTTCAAACTAGGCTTTGCATCATTACACAATGTGCCTTCTTGTTTTCCATTTCGTCCTTTGCTTAGGTTTAATAGTGTGAAATAATCTCATGCACTTAAAACAGCTAAACCTGTTCAATGGCCACAACTGAAAACTGGACTCTGATGTGTACAACTGAACCGACACACTGTGTTAAAAAAAAAAAAGCAATATAGAGTTTGATTATTCTCAATGAATTTATTCTATTTATTATTGAACTATTAAAATATTCAAACAATAGACTCACTGCTGTTGGGAGATTTCAACAGGTTTAAAACATGTTCAAAAGGTAGCAGTCATTATTTTTAGTCATCTGACTTCTATAATCAGACAAAAAATAAAGAACAATTCCCTCTTTAATGTATGGAACTTGTGTATTTGTGCGCATTTACACTACATCTGATTGACATTTAGATTAATGTATGTACTTCACAATGAGACAAGTGTTAGTGTGCCACCTCGTGGACACTGGTGGTATTACTGTCACGCTAGACTTGGTTAAGAGGAGAAAAAGTAAAACTGAAAAAGTATGATCCAAGAAATCCAGGAAAAAGAAAAATCAAGAACATTTCAACATTATGAAGACTCTACCTGTTATCACTCTCATTTCATTCAGAAGCATAAATAATAGGCACAGTACACACCAGACTCTGCTACTGCACGTTATGGCATCATGTTTTAGGAGCATATTCAGGAAACTCACTGTAAAAACTTCATGAATCAGTCTCTACAGCTCACTTTATGTTGTTTATATATACACACATACACGTCTGCTGGATTTGCACTCATCCAGTAGTCAATGTCCGACGTCTTATGCCAAAGTAAAAACTGCATTTTCTGCAACAGCTCCAGCACCATCTCTATTGCTTTAATCACATAGACATTTAGACACGGCAACAATTAAGTAACAAATTGCCATGGGAGGGATACATTGTATGTATACAAGCGCAAACAAACCTTTTATCAGTCTTTTTTTTTTTGGTACATCACATCGAGGCAGCCCTTCGTTTGTCCACTTTTGGTGGTGCCGTGAATGTTAACACACCCACACAGCACAAGAAAGTGCTCTAAATACTGCTCAATGAACAGACACTCCTGGCTGGGTTTTTTTTTTGTTAGATATGAAAAGATGACATGAACCAACAATGGAAAAAAAAAAGAGAAGGAAAAAATACACCCAGCAACAATAAATCACTCACTACTGCCAATGTTGAGCACCTGTCCGATAGTGAGACGTTTGATGCATAAACAGATTGACAACATTGGTGGCCATGAATGTTTTAAGAAAAGAGGCGTGAGCCATCCAACAGGTTTACTGCGTGTAGAAAAATAAAACATCTGGAAAGCCAATGTTCACTCAGCCTCTATTCAAACTATGCAGCAGCAAAAAATTAGCAACAGCTCTCACCAATAAGATTTTTCTCTTGGACTACACAAAGACACACACACACCGTCACACATACAAACACACATGCACACATTTTCTTTCAATGTGTAAAAATAGAAAGTTGGACACAGCTACTATATAGATAGATTGATCTACTGCATAAAGTGGACGTTTTCAAATCTGCGTTTTTTTGCCATTAGCATCCATCCAGTACCTGTCTAAACCCGATAGAGATGTATACATCTTTTTCCCCCACTTCTATACATTTTCTATAAAACAGACATGGCTTCATTTAACTGATGATTAACAGGCCTAAAACACCTTTTTAATTCTCCTGTGCACTTTTAGAAGAAAAAAAAATTACTTGAACAGGAAAAAAACAAATTCAGCAAAGATTTAAACAGTTGAAAAGCGAACTAATGCGTTGTTTGCTTGCTTGGAGATTCAGGAACCATGGGTCACAGCAGGGACCCACCTGGGATGTCGTAAGTACAAATGATAAAACGATGAATAAACCATCGGGAGTCACGTGAGAACAATAAGCGGTTGTTATGAAGTGACTCAAAGAAGCCACAGAGAGGGAACAGTTACATTCTGAAGCCCCACGTGAAAAAAAATCTCAAATTTATTGACTGTATTCTGGTCTTAGTGCGCAGTATAAAGTACCCCTGAGTTCTAGGACAGGGTAGGTGCTTTATCATTTAGAGCACCAGGGCAGCTTGGCGTGTGTAGGGGCGGGGTAAATGCCCGGGGTTTCCTCAAGGCTAGTGAGGGAATGGTGGGGCAAAATGTGGTCCTGGGCTTACAGTGGTTATAGGAAGTTTGAGTTGAGAAGAAGCCTGACTTTGGGATGATGGTACAGTGGATAAGTGGATAAGGCTCTGGTATACAATGTCATGGTCATCCTTGGTCTCCCTCCCCGGCTGCAGACACTCGTTCACATACGATCATATTTCTAAGCAGCTGACGCCTCCAGTGACTTCATCACCAGGTTCTCGGGTTGGGGATTGTTTTTCTTTTTTTTAGATTGCACATTAATATTGATTCTATGTCGTTTGTACTTTCTCCTCCCTCGCATCCTACCTTGTAGGAACTTCCTGCTCTGTATTTATTTGTCCTACAGTTCACACAGTTTGTTGTCTGGACTGCCCTGGCCCATCCCTCCCTCTTCCGCCCCGTTTATTTCAACGCTGATTTAAACTGCTCGCTCCTCGGGTCCACAGGCCTGGTGACATGGCTGTTTCGTCACGGCCTCTTCTCCCTCCCCCCTCAAATAGCAGAAAGAAGCAGTGCATTGAGGGATTTATGGGCATTAATCAATGGGAATTTTGTCGTCTAGTTCCAGTGGGCCGTCTTCAGCCGGCTCCTCGCTCTTTCCCAGCTCCTGCAGCTGCTGCCGCCGTTGAACCTCCGCCTTCAGGTTCTCCAGATCCTTTTGGCTGCAAAGGAAAACGAGACAGGTCAATGACATTTTGTAGAAGAAACTACTAGCACAGATTCACCTTTTAAAATGTGAGCCTTTTATGTTTCCTTAACTTTTATTAAAAAAGGACCATATTTGAACTCAGTACTTAGCTACCAGTTTCTAAAGCCCCTTTTCCACTGGTCAAAAAACCCACTAACACCCACGGGCATTAGCGCGTAAATAGCCATAGCCTTTGAGTATTTACAAAGCACAACATTGGTTTCTGGTGCATTTGTGACATTGAACAAGACCAGGGGAAAAAATAGAGAGGCAAACTCTTCAACTGACAATGACAATGAAGGGAAGCATAGGCATTCACATGTGACTGCAACGATTGTGTAACGCTGAACAGACTTTCGGATCCATTCATTTTATGTATAATCTACATACACGTATTTATGTATTTAGCCACATAACACTTATATTGTATTGGGACTCTACCTGAGAGGTATAAAGATGATGCCGTTGATGATGTTGAGCTGTTCCAGGATGCTGGCCATGCTGGGGGCGGTGAACTGGTGAAACAGAGGAAATAAAACCATGACATCAGTGCTGAATGTTTGGGTTTGAACAGATGGAATCCCAAAAACACATCAGACAGAGCAGTCACCTTGAGGGGCGTGATGCTGGCGTTGGAGCCGTTCTTGTAGATCTCATTCATGGTTCTCTGCAGAGCCACGGCCTGCTGGGTGAGATACTTCAGGTACTCTGAGCTCTCCTTGGTTTTCTCATGTGCCTCACCCATCTGAGAGGAAGAGAAGGAGGAGTTTTAAGCATCATTTCATCACATTTGATAGAAAGAAGTTTGTCAGCAGGTTGGATTTCAGCCGACTTTACCTGGTTCTTGTAAATAGTGTAGCCTTCCTTCTCATGCTGTAGAGCAGAGCGGAACTCAGCCTTGCTCTCGTAAACCCTCGCAACCAAATGATGGCTGGAAAAAAAATAACATGTTATATAAACCATCATGTAAAGTCAGTATTACATCATTATAGATGATGATGAATGTATCCCCACCTGAGTGCCACTTTGAGGGACCGGGGTCCGTGGTACTTTGTATTGATGGCCAAAGCGTTCTCCAAGAATCTTAGAGATAAATCATACTCCATCACTCCGTGCAGCACCAACCCGATGTTACTCTGCGGAAGGAGAACCATGAACAGTAAATATTACAACTGCC